AAATGTAACATGACTTAGTTTCACCATACTGCTTTATCAATCCAACTGCACAAAATATTATGCTTACATACATACATATATATATATATATATATTTGAACTAGTCAGTCACTCCAGCATCTACAGTAAAGTGATAAATATTATTATCCCATGAAAGCAATTAGCTGTTAGCTAAATGAGTTTTTGCTTAGAGGAACTAGAAAGCTTCCCATGGTCACTGACCAAGTGAGAAAAGAATTACACATCAATCTTTAGTCCTCCTCCTGAGCTTCTTGCCATGCCTTCTATTAGTTTCAAACGATCCAGGTGTCATCCTTCTAAATTATATACAATCCTTTTTTGCCAATATGTATCATGTGCCCTTTGTCAAAGGAATCATTCTGTTATAACCCCTCATATATACTCTCTCATAACTGCTCTTTGATACCTCCATTGTATGGGAAAGTGAACATCATTCATAGAAATCAACAAAAAAAGGAGTGACCCAATGTGAATCAGAGAGAACATAAATTGAGAAGCAACCGAATGCAGTAACTTTATAAAACCAACCATGTTGAGCTCAAAACTTTCCACAGAATCTTAGGTAACAGCTTCAAAACTCATCAATACAGCTGCCAATAAATAATTAATCATCCTGCTTACAGCCTCATCAGGTGATCTCAATGCACCAAAAGACACAAATTAACAACCTCTCCATTCAAGCCATGAAGGATCAAATTTGGGGGGTCAATTGTCCCCACTAAACCTTAAACAAATAAATGGAAATATTTAAATTTACCAAACTTTTTTTAGTGAAAGTTAGCTTTTGCCCTCACTAAAATATTTTCCTTTAATAGATTGCCCCCAGTAAATAAAATCTTAATCCCACGCCTCCATCATGACATCCATACCACCAACTCACAAAGCAGCTATCTGAAATCCCAAAATTGAAGAAACCTTTTGCATGTGTGGTAACGAAGGCAAAAGAAATGCCATACTAAAAAAAACACCCAATAACTCAATACTCATGCAACTCCAATGGTGGCCAAAATTATAAAAGATTACCCAGAAGTCCTGTTCTTGCAATCTTGCATAAACACGTCTACTCTTCTATGCCAATCTTGCTGCACCTTCCTACTGAACCACCAAATTTTACCCTCTATGACAGAAGCAGCATCTCAGGCAGACACAAACAGAGTATTCACATGCTTCAATCTCGTAACACACTAAGCATAATAAAAAAAACAAATAGCTGTTTTTGCGGTCTAATAAAAAGAATAACGTCCTAAACCAGTTTCTGGGGGAAAAGATGTTTGCTAACCAGTTATTAAATTACTTACCTTATAGATAACATAGTTGATAAGACGTTCCAACAACTTCCTTGTTTCAGACGGATACAACTCAGAGAAAAATATAGTCTGCAGATGGAAATAACAACATTCATCAAATAATATTTAATGAAAAAGGAAAATTTGTTATAAGAGTGAGGCAGAGCTAAGTACATCCAGAACAAAACTCTTTCATAAACACAAGCACTATAGACTGGAACAAGGACACATCTTTCATTAATTCATTTGAGTAAGTTTAGAGACTGATAAGCAACAGATCTCTTTAGTTAATTTTTTTAAATAAATAAATAACATTTCTGCTTCAGATATAGCCAATTCTGTTCTCTATACTCAGTAACTAGATATTTAAATTTTCATTCATAGATGCCAATTTATATCTGAAATTAAGTTTATCACTTGATATTTCCAGGGTTCATCTAAGAAAAAAGCTACTTTGGATGCTATTAGTAAAGTCAAGAACCCTAGCAACTCATGATTTTGGCTACGAGGGTCAAGAACTTTACAGTCTGGTTCCCTTGTAAGCCAATAAACAATATTTTATATGCAAGCTGTGTAGACTTTTCTCTAAACCATCTGAAAGTTAGTCTTACTATGAACTTGAGAGAATGTGTAAATTCCCGATTGAACAGAACCCAACTCCCTCCCTACCCCTTTTTAAAAACATAAAGATCAGTAAATATGAAAAATAAGAAACCAACTGCACCATCAAAAGAGTAAATTAACAACAGAAAAAGAAAAAAAAAAAAAAAAAAAAAAGGGAGAACGTTTTGAGGTGTTTAAATAAAGTTTCTCTTTTTAAGCTGTACATTAAGCTCACTGTATACATTTCTTAAATCAGCATATGCAGCTTGATTCAGATCAATATAATATCTCCTCAGGAGGTATAGATAGTATATCACAAACACATGGAATTTGTGTTGCAAAACAAATTACTAATTGTATAAACTTTATATTCGTCACAGCCAAAATCAGAAACCATGAAATATCAACTGATAACAATGGTTAAGACTTACCTTCAGAGAAAGGATGAGTAGAACAAATACATTGAGAACAAAATTCACTAGAATTGCAGCAGCAGCATAAGAACCAAAAAGCACATCAAAGGCGCGGCTAGCATTCTCTGTATTAAAAAAATTCTCAGTAATCAACCCCTCAGTCCAGAGTTTATCTAGCGAAATTTCTGTCCATAACTGAAGACCAGAAAAGCTTAAAGCTGTAGAAATTGCTGATATCCCCAAGTAGTTCAAACCCATAGCCATAGGTAATATACTCAGCTTTTTCACTAAAACTAAACTCCCAGGTTCTCATTAGAATTGCATGACCGTCTCCAAAGAGCAATCATCACCACTTTGCATTCTCCAGAGGGTCATGACTTTCAAGCTTACTGCCTAATATTGACCCATTCAATTGCTATGATGATTCCACCGCACAGGACCCCAAAACCTGCACAACCATTCAGAAACAGCTTTAACTTAAAACAGCCTAAGCTCTCTCACAAACCAACCAAGGAAAACAGCATAAACAACAGCGTCAATTTGCCAAAATTCAGTATTCAGATTTCTTAGACAACTAAAATGAGGAAAGCATTCCAAGTAGAAAAGCTTACAAATTTTGACTTGATCAATGTTGACTTTTTAGCTTCTACGAATCAAAATTACCTAAAATCTTCTTCCTTACCAGAACAGATCTCTTCATAATCTAAATTTCAATAAACTAGCAAAAATCTACAATAAACACAACCCTAATTTAGCGGAATGGATATAAATTTATCATCTTTAGGGCGAAATTTAAAGAATTTAAAGAGACTAATCACTAACTCATCTTGATTGAAATTGAAAAGGTCAAAATTGATCAGAACAAACCCTAGGGCTTCCAAAATGACAGGATTTCGTATCCAAAAAAACATGAATCAACTCAACCAAATTGAGGGAATTGGTTTAGAAAACAAGACTCTATGAATCTAAATGAGTAATCGAGAATGATATCATCGCAATTTAGGGAAGAAAAGATCAAAGAAAGCACGAACCAGATTCGATCTGAGAATCAGGAAGTGTCACGACGACAGCGTCGGTGGAGGCTTTTGGCTTTTTGCAATTTCACCAAAAATTCGCGTTTTTCTTTTGATAAAAACAAAAATAGAAAAAGAAGCAACAGAGAAAGAGGAGGAATCAAATTTTGCGGGAAAGAAAGTGGAAGATCTAAAATAAATAAATAAAGGCAGAAGGTGCAATTCAGCCCCTCTACCTAAACGTAGAGCAAATCAGCCCCTCCACTTGACAAAACCCGCAAATCAGCCCTTCTGCTGACGATGACCTCATCAAATGTCATCTTTCCGTCCACATCCT